TTACAAGATACAAAAGTTGAAAACAGAAACGGAAACAAAAAAGTGGAAGATTTTTTTTTTTTTTTTTTGCGGGATTAGATTTGAAAATCAATAACTCTGTAACAAGAAGGGTTTTGTATACTACTTTTTCTCAACATTAATCGAGTACATTTACACTTCAATTAGGAAAATGGAATTCTTTGAAATCCATTTTTGCATGATCTTCTCTTCTCTTCCCAAAGTTCCCTGCTGCTCCTGCATTCTTCCTTGCGAAAGTTCGTCCACCCTTCCCCCCTCCAATCTGGCCAGCCCATCTCCTCTCCCCAGTCCATGCCCATGGTCGTGGAGTTGCAAGAGCTGGGTCCCAAGTGGGCGTTGTTTGGAGGAGGTGGAGTACAATAATATTTTTGAGGTGAGAACCATGGTTGGGATGAATTTTTGTCGTGAACATTGCCGTTAACATTTTTCACGTGAATCTTGTCGACTTTAGAATTCCCATTAAATCATCAAACATTTGTTCTAATCTTTAGTAAAAAGTACAATATTAGATAAATAACCCGTAAAGAAACAGCACAGAAAGAGAAGGAAGGCTGAAATTTTAGAAGTTGTCGAGCTAGTGAAAAGGTCAAGGCCATTTCCTTTCTTTTCTTTTCTTTTTTCTCCATTTCTTTCTGGGAGTAATGGAAAATTTTAAACTACTTTATGGGACACTTTAACGGAACCTTTGTTATTCTTCACATAACAACAACAACAAAGAAAAGAACAAAATGCACAAATAAAGCACTGTAAAGGGCGAGAGAGGGGGGGGGGCTACTACTTGTAGCTTAGGGGGGAAAAAGGCATTCATCATAAGCTGTGATGGCTCAAATGATGAAACCAAAAAGTTTCGAATTTGTCACCACCCCAGAAAAAAAAAAAGAAAAAGAAAAAAGCAGCGGTGATATGTGATACCTTCATTGCTGAGGGCTGCTCCCGGGAGTGGCAGTAGAAGAAGCACATATACAGCTGAAGTTGCAACTTGGAGAAAAAGATGAAGCTTCATCTTCTATCTTTTCAGTTTCTTGACAATATTGCAAGACAATGGATGAAAGAAGCCAGTAAGCAGTAACGCCCACTCGAGTGGTGCGGAGAGAAACTTCAGGTGCCGGAAAAGCAGCAGAAGAAGAGTCCAGTTGACTTGGTGGGGGCTGCTTCAGCCTAAGAGAAACGTTTCATCAATACTGACCGCTAAAGGAGGAGTACCAAGGGACCAACAACATGAGAATTGTGTAGTAGTAACACTGTTTCTCAATGATCCTCCGGAGGGATTATCCTGCAGAGTAGGATGGTAGCATACATAATGCAAGTGCTAGTACTAGTGCAGCACTGCATTATGTTTGTGAGTGTGCAGAAGAGAGAGATGGATATATTCTGCACAGAGAGAAGAGAGAGAGGGTTAGTGTGTGTGTGGTTTTATTATGGCACAAGGGGGGGGGGGGGGGGGAGGGTGGCAGTGGAAGAGCAGGCGTTTGGCGTGAACTGTAAGGCATAGGGGTGAAGGACAAATTAAAGAGAGGCTGCTGGCTCTGTGTGACAGTGTGAGAGAGAGTAGAGACAGTAGAGGGGAAGAGGTGCGTGTTTAATGCTTTCGCAGCCTTTGTTTTCCCATTTATGAAGACAGAGAACAAAATTAAAATCCACCCCACAAACAAAAATAATAATAATGCCAATTTCTCTTCTTGACTTCTTCGATTACTCGGAAAGTCTTCACACCATTTCTTTGTGAATAAATTTTATATATATTGTAAATATATATATTATTACAATTGAATAGATAATATATGAGTAAATTTTATATTTTAAATTTAAATTATATATATGTAATAAATATTTTATAATAATAATATATATATTAACAGTATATATAAGATTATTTCTTTCACAATTCTTTCTTGTTTCACAGCCTGCGCCTCTCTATTTCTGTACTAGCTTGCAAGTGCTGCCCACTTTCTAGCTACAAGCCTCTAAGTAAGTGTATTTGATGATAAAAAATCATTTTTTCCCTGTTATTGTTTTTCGCTCATGTACAAAATTGTTCAAGTTTGGGCAACGATGGGTGTGTTTAGATATATAAAATATTTTAACTACTATTATTCTATTTGTATTATAAATATATTTTTGAATGAATCTTATATATACTATCAATATACATATATTATTATGGTTGGATCAATGACATATGAGCAAAATTTGAATTCAAATTCAAATATTACGTATGTGTCATATATTTAATGATGATAATGTACACACTGACAATATATACAAGATTAATCATATAGCTTTTTAATAATTTTTATTATCAATTATATTTTTATCTTACATGTGCTACATTGCAAAAATTTATTATAATAATTATTTCAAATAATCTCTATTGGTTATTACTTAAGTTTGTTTGGATTAGTGAGCTCTTGAATGAAATGCAAGCTTTTCATATACATATTTATAGAAATATACTCAATATATATATAATCTCAAATATACCTAATAAAAAATGAAAATAAAATAAATATTTTCATCTTTTTTTTCCACCCATCATTGCGAGTATTACCATTCCTCCTCCCCACCTCTCTACCCTCTTTCTAACTCATATAGAACTATTTTTTTTTTTTTTTGCAAACGATAACATATATAGAACTATATTATTAGGTTTACCTTTTTGTGAACCTTGTTGAATACATCGACGTTAACATTAACAATCAATTGGTTTGAAAGATATCTAATACTTGATTATAGCTTTATGGTGCAAAATTAAGGTTGATGATTGTGGTAAAAATTATAAATATTTGCTTGATTTCTAAAGTGTAATTTCAAAGTTATGGATATTTAAAATGGAACATCCCATTTTAACGTTGAGTAGAGTAGTAATTATCAATCCTCAATCCACGTGGACATGATCATATTAGAAGTATTTTTGAAATCAATCACTAACTTTTACATTTACTCCTATTTCTGTTCTAACTTATCTAAGGTAGGGCCAAGGCCAATAACTGAACCCCCGCCCCAGGGCGTTGGGGGTGGGGCGGAGGGGTTGGAACTGAGGTGATGACATTATTGAGTTTGTTTGGACAAGCCAAATTTGGTTTGTTTAATTTGTTTTCACAAATCCCAATCACCTTTTTATCTTCCCAATCACCTTTTTATCTCACATACATCATATCACAAAAAGTGCTACAGTAAATATCTCAAATAAATCATCCAAATAAACTCTTATCCAAACAAACTCATTACTCGTTGAAAGCCTCGGTTTGAAATGTGACTGTTGGTCATTATCTATAAATTAAGAAAAGGAAAAGGAAAATGCATTCTTTTGATTTTGTACGACCACAAAATACATGCATCAATACTCACGAAGATTGTGACTCGTGAGTATGGGAAAAGAACAGTAATCCTACGACGCTAGTACGGCGGCACAGGGGTAGGGGTAGCACACTACTGTAGTAGTAGCTGGCAGAGAAACGGCGGCGAAGCGACGTTGGATATGCGACTGTTGGTGATTGGAGGCCGGTCAATTACTGCCAAAAGTGGTGGCTGCGGCCGTCAACACCGGCCCCCCCCTCGGGGTGCAACTGCCGTTTCCCTGAGCTCCCTCCACTTTTGACAGCTACCCTCCTTTTCTCTGCGAAACGTATGCAATATATCCACGTTGCACGTAGTCATGGGCATCGGCGGGTGGTGCCTTGCTCGGACGGGTCATCAGGGTAGGATGCTTGATCAGGAGTCTCACAACACGCGCCATGCTGTCAATTGGTATTGCGACAGTTGGGGGAGTGGTGGGTGGTGAAGAGAAGGACATGCTTAAGCAAAGATTGGTCCAAGAAATCAGAGACTGGTCTTGGTCGAGAGGGGAGGCTATTGAATGCCAGAGTTTTAACAGTCTCGTGAAAGGTAAGTTTGGCTTTTCTTGGTCCGGTAAAAAAGCATGAGGAGACCCGACAGCAAAGTGCAAAACAGAACTGGTGGTATGGATGGATAGGCATACTAGAGGTTAAAGACAAATTGGGCTCAATGCTTTTTTCTCTTTGCCCTCAAGCAACTATCACCCTTTTTAACATTAATATATTATTTTGTGTTTTCTTTTGAGTATTGGAAGTCTGGAATGCTACATGATGGTCGCGCAGTAAAATCCTCTGCAGGGTTGCACCAACATGTGGTGGAGATCTTTTCTGGAATTGATTTTCAAAAATCTGTTTTGCTTGGAAGGGAAAATTTTTCAATAATATCTTTGGAAACTTGCGGTCTCTCACATGTAAAGATTGCAATTTTCACCCGATGATGGTAAAAGCAGAAGGAAATTTGATAAGGAGATTCGAGTGAGGAGAAGTATGGTGAGTCCCATTCATTAATGTACGTACGCTGTCTCTGTTGTTGGATACCAAAAATTAACTGATGGATCATGTTGCGTTGTTCTGCCTTCACATTCTTTTTCAAAAGGTTGTTGTTTGTGGCTTGTTCCGTACCGTCCACAATTGCGTGTGATGACTTGTAGCAGACCTGTCCTGGCTGACTTGCTTTAAATGAAGTGGATTAATTCCGAGTAACAAATTCTTTTTCTTTAACACTCCTTCGGTTTCTTCACGACGGACAACATATTTTACCCCGTCCCATCTATTTTAATTATTTTTTTATTTCACGTATATCAAATTATTACAATATATTTTTTATAAAAAAAACTCTTAAAATAGCAATTCACTCGTATAGACGCCCGCGATCTCAAAATAATATATATGGTCTCATTTATTGGATGGAAGAATTTTACAAGTAATGAAATGCCCACAGGGCAGGATCAGTCACTACAACCAGCGTTAGCGTAATAGCGTCTAGCTCTGTCGATGGTTTGATGACATCTTTTTACTGTTTATTTATGATTGGGGTTTGTTTTCTTTCTGCACTTCGTCTGAATGTCAAAGGAGTTGCTAGGAAGAGTGCACGCAGAAGATCCATGTTCAGAGATCTTCCCGCAGGCCGACCACATTTTTTTTTTTGGCAGAGAGATTCCTCTCCTAAACGCCAAAAAAGCGGCGCAATCTGAGGAATCCAACAAGCTAAACCCCATTGACTAGACTAACCTGAGAGTAAAAAGTAGTAAAGCTTTTGTACATTCTACACTGGTGTTTTGGTACTTTCAGCCTTGTGGGTGATACTCTTATCGATTGAAGCCAAGCCGTCCAATGAAACATCATCCATGCTCTGCACAACCAGCGTTAAATCCGCTCAGTGCTAGCCATCAGCCTCTGCATTGCAGCCTAGGCCATGGGGTCGAATCGCTGCGCATCCCAGTTCCCTACCCATAAAAAAAAAACGCCTGTGGCAGCGGCCTCCTTTTGGGCTTACATTACTGTACAGTTAACTACATAAACTATCCTTCGTTGCAACTACGAGAGAAATACAACTTGATGTACAAAAACAGCTCAGACATTTTAAAGCAACTGATAAGATGCATAATTTACTTCTTCAGAGTTGTGAAAAGAAAATCATTATAGGAACCAGAACGATCATGCTTTTACACTTTCGTTAGGTGAAACTGTAATGAAATGCTCCTCCTAATGCGTACTATGAACACTTTCATCGTATCCTTGAGATAACTGCTCACCTTTAAAGTAAAAATGGGGTAAAATTCTCAACCAAAATATGCGACTGCCTTGTAAATTTTCATCTGGCCATTGTCGCATGTTTTGGTACGGAGTTAACGGGCATGTTACAAAACGTCCGTATTGTTGCCTGAGACGTTAAATCAAGAGAAAGGTCTTGTATGCTTCACGGATGCAATACCAGATTTTATACCTATAACCAAGTGTTGTATGGAGAAAATTTGGTTGCAAATAGTTGGAATTAAAATTGATCCAAAACTTACATGCCTTTAGTGGTTGGTAAAATAGTTAGAAGAGACACCAAGGAAAATTACGAGATTGCAGGAACTTTTCCTTCATCAATCAAATCTCTTTCCAGACTCTTTCAATGTAAAAAAAAAACGGAAAGATACCCTTTCCTTAAAATAGACCCAAATTAACATCCACCCAATGACGAATCCAGCACACAATGCTTCATCACAATTGAGACAAAAATCAAAACTTATGGATCTAAAGTGCTAGTACTGATGCTCAATTCCCATAATTGATACCAGGCCTCATGTCAACCAAAAAGTCTCAAATCATCGCCCACATGATTGTAAGCTTACTCATTTGCAGCAACCCAGGGCTCGTTATAAGCCTAATTGCAGGTTAAGGACAAATGCTACGACTCAAATCAGGTAGATGAAGTTTAAGTGAAGTTCGTTGCGAAAGTGGCAATCTGAAAAAACTCAAGTTCAACATGTAATGAAGCAGAGAAAGTCACAATTTCCCAAATGTTGTCACCGTAACTCAAAAAAAAAAAAACACACACACACACACACACAAAATAACTATCATGAAACTTGGCCAAGATTACTATGAAAGAGTAAATTCAAATTACGAATGAAACAACAAATGAAGAACCACACGTGTTGATATTATTGAGCAAAATCATGATACATAGCAGCAGGATATTCCATTCAAAATCATTTAAAGGGGGGAAAAAACCTTATCCATTCTTCACATGGCATCGGCATTGTGCCATCCCTGAGTGCAAGGTGGTATTGTCATGAACTCGTCAAATTCCTTGACATGAACATCACAGCATTTCCACTGCATAATTTTGGAGGAAAACTATGAGTTATGTAACCACCAGTGATAAAAACTACTTTCAAGGGAAAGGAGAATATAGGGCTAGGTTTTTTGTAAATCTCACCCCTCTCATCCGGTCATGGAAGACAGCAGGGCCAGGATGATAACTGCACGCTGTATCATGATTATCCTTTTCTTTGAAGGTTATCCCACATCCCTTATTCTTACAAGTCTGAGGCTGGTTAATATCAATCACCTTCTTAACTGGAGGTGCACAAACTTCCTGCAAATGTGAATCACTCCCAGAAGATGCAACACCTACAGTTTTTGATGCTTTTGCATTGACGTCTCTGGCTTGAGAACCTAAATGGTAGAATAATCATACTTCAAATGAATTTCCCTCTAACAGATGTTGGATAGCTTGAAAAGTAACTAATATCTTCTCCCTATTATCTTATTCTAAAAGAAATTGAAAATAAACTACTTGTATATGTTTGTAAAATTGGAGGCAAACCTCTCATCTAATCTATAAAATGAGGTCATGCTGTCTTGGCAACTCAACAGAAGCAATTCACTATTTCAAGAACTTTAAAACTGACCACAATCAATAGCAGAACAAAGATTAATACCGTGGTCAGAGCAAAAGAAACCCTGTCGACACCTGGGACAAGTTTCCTTAGTCAACACACTGTTCTCTTGAGGCAGTGCAGAAATTGCTCTATTTTGAGGAGCTGGCCTTCTCAGCACTGGTCTTTCTGGCGTGTGTTTCCCAGTTTTACAACTTCATAAAGCAGCAGTATCAGTGATAGTTGAAGCCATGACATAATGGAAAATAATGACCACACAGAAAAGGTCCTTGAATAAGCATGGATACTTCCTACTGCTAAAAGAAAGTCTCTGGCCTGGGACTCATTTTCATTTTTTCTTGGTCACTATATTCTGATATCCCTATGTGTAAATCATTTAAGCAACAGAATTCATATCAAAGGAAGCAATACTGGAATGACAAGTAAAGAAAACAAAAAGCTATTGCTTAAGTACCATTTCACTTCCAGACCTACTGCTTTATGATTGCAAAACCAGCATTAGTTTCACTGCTAACAGAATGGAAAACAATGACTAGAGTACAGAAGAAGTTCTTGTCAAACAAGCATGAATACTTCGTACAACTAAAAGAAACTCTCTGGCCTAGGACTCATTTTCATTTTTTCTCACTCACCATATCCTGATATCTGTATGTGTAAATTATTGTGCAGCAGAATTCATATCAAAGGAAGCAATGCTGAAATGCTAACTAAAGAGAACATAAAGCTACTGCTCAAGTACCATTTCACTTCCAGACTTGCTGCTTTATGATTGAAAAAAACTAGGATTAGTTTCATTTACAAAAGTTGCCCTTTTATCTCAACAAGGGTACTCCGGCCAAGGCCCACCCCCACCACAAAAGTTTCCCTTCATATATATGTGTGTGTGTGTGCACACATGCTCTAGAACCAGCTTTTGTTGTCACTTACACAGAAAAAACCAATTATTTGCAACAAAAGCATAAAACCGCCTAAAGCTTTTCTGAAGGTACCCATAATCGTTTTAGCCCCAAAAACAAGTTGGAGTTGCTGAAGGAATGTATACTGCCAATAAAAGATGCTTATTATTTAGGAGAAAGCTTGAGGAAGAACTGATGCGCAAGGGGGAAACTTCAAAAGCAACAAAAACTTAAAAAGAGCATGCACATACCCAGGAATTTCCAGAAATAAAGTGAAATCATAACTTCTTTTCTTGCAACAACTCCACTCTTTAATCCCGTCGTGAAATATAGGCTGGAGAATTCAAAGTTTGAGTATGCATTGGCATCTCTTGTTAGAAAAGCATAGAAGAGAAGTGCTCTCTGAAAAAAGTTACAAATCAAATATCCACTTACACCCTGGTACATCAAACATGCCCAAAACAGTGAAGACCACGCCATGCACAAGAAGAAGAAACTCCATTAGTTAGTTAACCGTTAAAATTAAAAAGTGAATCACGAAAACAATAGTTATTGCAGAAAATTTGCCTGTATAGAAGAGCAAAAAGAGTGCAGAAAAAGATTCCACTTGCAAGAGTTGGCTAATGTAGTCCAAAAATTATACACACAAGAATCTAGTATTAGGGGGATTTTGGTTCTCCATGACAACATAGAGCATAAACTGACATCATTACCAGTAACCTCAACCTATTAGAGCATCAATGCAATTAACCCTTGGATCCTTTTTCACGTCTGATAAGTTAATTTCACCAGAAGGCAACGAAAGCTGAAAAAAGTAAAAAGCTTAAAAAGTGCAGTGAAAAAATAGTAGTACAAGGTCAGCACAATAGACTCGACTGCAAGGAAGGTAGCATTGAGGTTCCCTCAGACCCTTAACTCACTGATCTAAAATTTGAATCTTTTCCAAAAGAATACTCCCTCTAGCTCCTTCTAATCCATTGAAAATCCTCCAATCCCAAATAGTTCAGGACACAATTGACAGGAGTCCAGTTTCAATCTCCAGCTCCTGAATCCTAATGTGACTAAAGCAACCAGGCTTAATTTTCCCCGAAACTTGTAACTCCAAGCAACAATGTAGTGAACTATAACAGCTAGAAGAGTCTAATAAAGAAGAGAGCATCGTGACTAACCCTATTTCAATTCTTTTTCTCAGAAACTACGAGAAGAGAGGACAGGATAATATTTAACATCCAGTATAGAAAGCGGCAAGGAAAGGAAAGGAGAAGCAAGAAAAAGTAGTATAGAAAGCAACAAGGAAGGAGGTTTCAAAAGTTGAATGAGCAATCTGCATCGAACAGCAAATTTATGTAGCAAAAATTAGGGGGGGAGAGAGAGAGAGAGAGAGAGAAACTGACAGCGTCGTGGTAAGTGCAGGAATCGTCTGGGTTGTCATCCTCAGTGAAGACGGCGTCGCAACCGATCCTCTGGCATCGAAGCTTTTCCATAATTCTGTGTCTTCCTCTGATTGATTTTCTCGGGGGAACGAAAACTGACCAACAGTCAATGAAAGAAGGAAATTGTTAACCCACTGATTAGTAGTCCTAATTAGCTTTAGTCGGGCTTAGGAGGATTCCTCCAAAGCAAAAGGGGTGATTATGAATATCAAAAGCAAGGAGCCCTTTTCTAATAGAAGTTTCTAGAAAGTCGGGCCGGCTCCATAGGATTGTTCTTGGGTCGGGTGAATAAACTACAAACCGGGTTCTACCTTACTTACGCAGTTTGGGTTGAAATTTTGTCATTATTCCCCGTGAAGAAGAGGGTTCCAGAAAGGAAGTCTTTCCTTGTCAGTTGTCCCCACCTCTCTAGCGTCTAATAAGTTATTAATGGGCTGTCGCCCCGCTCATCAAAGATAGAAACCTGCAACCTTCTAATCATGAAAACAGTAGTATCAACTGCTCGATGAAAAGGTCGAAAAGACCGCCAAAAAAAAAAAAAAAATCTTTTGCCATCTTTCATTCTTTTCGGGCGAATTTCTACAAATAATGATGAATTCAAAAAAATCACAATTTTGGTGGTTCTGTAGAATTGTGTTCTTCAATTAGGATCGCAATGAAGACCACGTCGCAACCAATCCTCTGGCCAAATATGTAGAATTGTGTTCCTCACTTGGAGTCGTAGTGAAAAACAGCAACGCAACCAATCCTCTAGCAAAACACTAAAAAATTGTTTTTTTCACATATGCAGTCGTGATTGCTTTGATGAGATGGGGATGAAAGTGGTCCCCCAGTGACTAGCTTCTACATTTTTTTTTTATTAGTCATTTATCTATCCTATATCTATTCTAATCTTTTCTAAAAGGGAGGATCTAATTGGATCTATTGGAGAACCGACCTATTTTAAAAAGAAGAATTTAATTGGATCTATTGGAGAATCGACGTAAACTAAATAACTATCGGACCAGACAAGTACATTACGCACCCTAATGAATTTAAGCCACTTAAAGTAGCAAACCATATATAGTGATAAGTGGTGGGAGGTAAGGTTTGAACCCTTAAAAAAAATGCTAATATTTTAGGTCCTTTTCAGAAAATAAAATTGCTTTGTTATTGAATTGTTTGTCGGAAGAAATATGTTATTGAATCGCTTTTAAAGTCTTTTTCTTACTCTTACTGCTATTTTGGTGCTTTTGGATGATAGACTTCTCATCGATGAACTCGGAATTCGGAATTATTACCCAATTTCGTTTTGTGAATGCCTTCCCGTCCAATTATTTTGTCTTTGAAAATTAATTTGCTAATTTTATTCAGAGAGCCTGATGGTCATTCCAATCCAATTATAGAGTTCTACCCCAATTTTTTTTTTTTTTTTTTTTTTGAAAAAAGACCCCAGTTATAGAGGGCAAGACTAGTAACAAGGCTTGATCTATGGCTACACGAAGAAAAAGTTGGTAAAATCTTCTACTAGTCTTGTATGTCCATAAATCGTTATTAGACTTTATTCAGGGCTTTTTATCTTTTTCAAATCTATGGCAAATCAAAGATTAGCAGTTGTTCACAAGACTACGGATCAGGAACACAACTCACGCAGAAGATAAAGAATCAGGAAGACAGGAACCATGAAATACTGCATAATGACCTTGAAACAGATCTTACTGTAAACAAAATTTGGCTGCAAATATCAAAATCCAAACACTTGCATTCAAGATGTCAAAATTTCCTTACAACCAATCACTATTGTAATCTAGTTCAAAACTAGAAAGAAGCAAAGGAGCCCAAACTATACGGCTGATGTACTGATCTCAGGGTACGACACACCCCACTAAAAGAGTTTAATGAATATATATATACAGCATGTCTGTGTATAGCAAGAATATGTACATGATAATCCGTCAATTTGTCATTTGTAGTTCTATTTGTAGGTCTAAACATCAGCAAAAATGTACTCCAGGCCAGGCCCAAAAACTCTGTAAATCACAAATTTCTGACCTCTAATTGGAGCTTCCCATACAATTGCCTTAGCACAGAGAGATTGTCTCACAGTAATCTGTTATGAGCTTCAATCACGGAAATTTTCTCCTGCAGGCCAAAAGAGAGTAAAAGTAACGTTTCTTGGTACCCAGAAAAGGCAACGTGTACTGGAAATTTTGCTACTGATTCATAATTACCCATACCAAAGTGAAGTTAAAAAGTGAGATTTCAACAGCTAGGAATGTTTCTAGCCATAATTCAGGTCTTTCCCATAAATAGATTCACGGTACTATTGCATATTCTACTGTGGTTCTAAGTATGTAAAGCTTTTTGGAAAGCAAGCTCTGCATATTTGGAGCTAAATAATCATTCAATTGAGGTTTCTGTGTGCTTTAAGTCTAGCAGGTTAAAGTTCGTTCCTGGGCCTTATGCTGCAGGAAAGACACAAGGTAGACTGCCTAGTTTGTTTTGCATGCTCATTAAATAAAACAAAAATCTATTATGAAATAAAATAATGCAACCTCAGTCTGCCCGCTACTTTCTGATGGAAACCAGTGCATTAGAACTCCGAGATGCATCACAGCAGGTATTAGCTTGAACAAGACAGGAGTGGTTACCTGCAGCATATTTACAGTTATAGATAATATCACGCAAAAACAAATAAAAAGCTAGGAGGGAAGAATCCCTGATGAATTTAAAAGAAAACTCACAAGACTGAAAGCAGTTGTTCCAAGAAGAAGAAGATACATCCTGCCCTGTATGAATAACCGAACTTAACGTAAGGTCAAGATAATAATTGCCCATGTGAACTTAAGATTCAACAAATCGATCATTTTGAAAAATGTATCACAGAGAAAAAGCAAGATTAGTTGCCACTCGAAGAATCATTCAGGTACAAATTCCACATTGCATGCAAATGTAGTTTTCCACATAAGCACAATCTGGATATGCAAATATAAGATCAATTACTGCATTAGTTGATATTTTTCTGTAGTAATTAAATAGAGTCAATTATGAAAGACTCGTAGCACTTAAAACAGTAGGAGCTCCAAACTTTTAAAGCTCGCACATAATTTAGCATAACTTTTAAAGCTCGCACATAATTTAGCATATTCAATCACAAATTGCCCATGGCACATTCACTTAAATAGATGTTCAGATGTTATAGGCGTTAATGTAAGATAATGCCAACAGTATTTAATTCAATATTCTGGTTTAAATGAAATAGGCCTACCAATTTATATTATTCACTTTCAGCTTTTAAATGAGCCTATAGGTCTACAACTTGGAGCATCCACAAGAAGATTGACTTGCACAGTCTCTTATTTCAGTCAAAACTAAAATTAACAGTTCTAATCAACTTGTCCTGGTTCGTTTAATGTCTTGTAATCCAATTAATGTTGAAAACTTCCACTTAGCAGCATGAAAATGACCAAACGGTTCCTACTCAGACAACAGCCCGTGGAAGTATCAGCTCCATTCAATTTATATCGGCTGCAACGTAAATCTTGAAATAGCAGAAGCACATCAAAAGCATCCTCTTATAAGTCTGACAAGTACCTCACACTCTCTGCTCCAATCACAAATTTCACAAAGATATTGCAAAACCCCCACTTTGTAATGCAGTTTATTCAATGGTAAATTGGAGTAGTCAAAACTGCATTTTAAGCTATAAAATGCAGCAGCAGAATATTTCAAAACATTCTTGATCAGGTAGCTTGTTAAATGTTAAATTATTGGAAACTGGGAAATATAGGAACCCGAAAACCCTAAGAAACAACTATCACAATAATCTGTGTGCATGCGTCAAATCCAACAGGCCCGGACACATTACCGAATCAGTATTAAAGATGTCTCACATAAGTATTCTTTAAAGAAGATCAATATCGACATCAAATGCATACGAAAAGCATTCTTGGGTCTCTTCAGGTGTAATGCATGGTGTTTTTACGGTGATTTGTAACAATCCTATATAAAGGTTGCCTATATTTACAATAGAGCTCATTTAATTAGACTTGAGCACTAGAGCTATTAAGACATGGGCAAGAGAACGGAAGAAGAAATAGACAGAGTACCTCAACAAGATGTAGATTCGAGGCACGACTTAAGAGAACAAATGCAAATTCTCCAATTTGTGCCAGCAATAAACCAACCTATCAACAGTCTCAGAAGTAAGAAAATGTCACTCATTTAACTTACGAAAATCAGGTTGAGAAAGTTAACTTACAACAACTGATGTCCTAATATTGTATCCAAAGGTCTTTGTAACAGCAGTAGCAACGGTAGTTTTAACTACTATCACAAGTATAACAGAAGCAAGCAATATATCCACATGGGTCCAGAGGAAGTGCACATTAATGAGCATTCCGATGCTAGAAAGAAATAGTGCAGCAAAGAGATTACGAATTGGTTCAACCTGCAACATGACAATCATGCAAATCAGATATCTTCCTAATCATAAATCTTGTCATTGTCAAATGAAGATAGTAAACCCACAAATCCGAAGTTCCATAACTGCCAATGTCAGGAACACATGACCAGAGATGTAACCAACTTTTCCAAAAGTCAAATTCAAAGTTTTGCATGTACGCAAAAATGACTTCGGTATCAATTTTCAACTTATCAAAGATGCAAAGGCAAGGTGTTAGTATAAATCTCTACTTACCAATTTTCACTTCAAAAGAGATTCGTAAAGAACTATTTTTTTCAGTTAGACAGATTTTCAAATGCCTATCCTGCTCATTAAAGCAAGTCATTGTGAGTAATCACTACACAAGACTAGTAAATGCAAGCAAATGAGAGTGCAGGCTAACTTTCTCCTTTAAAATCATTGCTATGGCTCTCCCAGGGGTTACCTAAAGGTAAAGTGATGACTATACCAATTGAACCCAAACAAAAAACACAAGGTCCTCGTAGGGTTTTGGCCTCTAAAATGGCATAACAAAATGCTTCTGGTGAGCTTACATTAACTCTAAACCAAGGTTCTGGATAAGCATATCCCTGGCTTCAAATTGTTGCAGTCATTTTTTAGGTTAGTGGGGCAGCAGAGGTACTGAAAGAGACTGACAAAGATCTGGCTTTGCATCAAAACACCATTTATAACCTGAACCAAAATGGATGACTAAAACAGACATTTTGTTTCAGGGCACAAACAATTTTTCCTCAGCAATCATAAAAAAAATGCCTGAAAGCAGCATAGAAAGAGTTTAGGACATAAAAGGTAACAGAATGAATAAAAGGTGCATACGTTACT